TGATTTCTCCCTCCCTGTACCGCCACCACCCTGTATTATTCCTTTCCCTCACAGCCAGACTTCCTGAGCCTACTCCACACCCTCATCCTCAACTTCGCATCCCACTCAATTTCCCAGGCACGGTGTCCTGACCTCACTTCATCCCCTTCATCACCATGGTCTCTCCGGGGTTACCTGCCCTGCTGACCATGCTTTTCCTACTGAAATGCTTCCATGTCTCGCCTCTCTGACACCACGTTAGCCCGATTAGCCTGACCACACCACCTCGGTTTCCTTTGCAAACTTTTCTGCTTTGTTTTGCTTGAGTGTCTGTGTTCCCCACAGTTGTCCTAGGCTCTTGCCTGCTAGTTGGGAACAATCTCCGAGGGAGCCTGCCCAGCCCTTTCTCTGTTCTCTGCTCTCTCATCACTGTTTCCAGTCCGGCCCTTTCTCTTAAGTGCCTGCCCTAATGGCTGACCCCGCAAACCCTGAGCTCACGCCCTCTCTTGATGGCTTGAACATACTCTTCCTTTGGTGGTGCATCGCTCCTCCAGCTCCTCCACTGCCTGTCACACTTCACTGTGCCTTGGGGTCCCCTGAGTGGTGGTTTATGTGGATTGCTGCTCCCCCCAGGTTCTGAGTCAGTGCCGTGCGGGGAGCTGGTGCTTGTGGCATCTCCTGCTGTTCTCCTGGGAAACACACCTTGAGAACTTCCGTTAGGAGGAAGTGAGGCGAGTTTTCCCACTCCTTGCTCTACCTCACTTTCCTTTGCACCTTCAGATCTCCAGCATCTATGTCGTCTTTTCAGGAGCCTCCTTTCCCTGTGTGACCAGCCTGATACATCGTAATGGCCTGCGGACTGGGCCCCTTGCCTCCATTCGCTCCCTGGATCTGTTTTCTACACCGAAACCAGCATGAGCTTCTTTATGTGTAGGTCATATCAGCCTCCAGCCTCCCACCCCGTGAGCTCCCCTGGCCCTAGGGAGCCTAGACGCCTTAGTGCTGGCCTGCCTCTGCCTACCCGGCTCCTTACTGTGCATCACACATGCAGAAATGTGGTTTAACTATGTTACAGAGCAGTTAAGTAAGTCCTTACTGTAAGTGTCCATGCCACCGTAGTGCTTTTAATTAATTCCATTTATCTGTCAGTCAACTCTGTAGAGCAGGTTACAATTTACGTTTTATACCGAGGAAATGAGACTTATTTTATATGTTGCCTTTATCCTGTACACTGGTCTTGTCCAGTCACTTGTGCCCAGGTTAACAGAGTTGGATTCACTCAAAACTGCAAAAGCTCATAATGTCAACAACCACCACCCGCACGACATAGCATCGAACAATTTTTCTTAATGTACTTTGTGCCAGTATATTACAAGCAAACACAGCCCATGCACATGGTCCCTGCTTTGCAAATGGAGGAATTCAGAGGGAAAGGGTAACTAACTGGTTCATAGCCACACAATTTGAGGTAGGAGGACGTGGATGTGAATTCACGTCTTGTGACTCCAAGGCTTGTGCTCTTGGTCATCCGCCTGCATGGTGGCAGTGGATGTACATCAAGAAGACTGTTGATCATTTGGCAGCTTCTGCAACTTAAAATCCTCCAGGGTCTGTGACTGAATTATGCAATTTTCCGCAGCTCTACCACCCACAGTGGAACCCACCCACCCGCTCCCACCTGTCTCCCTTCTAGACTCCGCTGTGCTTGGTGCGAAGCACTGGGACTGGAGTCAGCTGGATTCCCACAGCCCGGATGTGCGGGGATAAGTTACTTCACTGCTTGGAACTGCCCGAGGCTCTTCTCTAACACTCTCAACAGTAGTATTTCTTCATGTGGTTGCTGAGGGGAATCATGGAGCACCTGCCTCTCCTCCCCAGTCCCTGTGCCCCTGCTTTAATGGGGCGTCGAGTGCCAGCACAATGGCTTCCCTGCTGTCCCTGCTCCTGCTTCCTGTGCAGGGTGCCACTGCTCCCTCCCCATCACTGTTCCTCACCAAACCTGCTAGCTGAAAACCAGTTCCAAATTCCAAACTCTAGGGATTTTCTGATAGTAGTAATGGCCATTATTCAGCCATACCCTCCTCCTGAAAGAAAAAAAAAAATAAAAAACTTAAAACCTCCATGTGGAAATTGGAATCAGCAGGTGAAATTCGGAATCAGGAATCCAGATAATATTGTAGATTCGATCAGCCATAGTAGGGATAGAACTAAAGCCCAGATTCCTCAGATGCTATAGGGCGACACCAGAGTAGACCTGAAACAGCCGGGCTGTCACATGGGCTTGCAGCCCGAGTTCAGGAAGTCTGAGGCCACCAAGGAATCTCAAGTCCTGAATTGGTTGAAGGGCTGTGATGACTCTGGGGTAAGTGGCAACACAGTGGGAATTCTTTCAAGAGGAAGCTTCCTTCAGGCTAGGGCCCAGGTGACCAGTGATCGATCAGTACATAGATATAACCAGGCTCCCAAGGAAACCAGATCCCAAGGTCAGGAGCTGTAAGGGACTGTGAGTCACAGAAGCAGTGCTTCAAAACCATCATCAGGTACTACAGTCGTGACCGCCTGAAAACTTCCGAATTTCCTGTTGACAGAAATGAAAGATAAGCCGGAAGATAGCGACAAGAAACTGTAGGAAACTGTATCATGACACATCACATCGGGAAAGAGATCTTCGGAGTAACACAGTCAGAACCTCAACAGCAAGGGAAAGTACTTAGTTTGAAGACGGCAACTCAGTGGATAGGTTAATACCAGATTGGGTAAAGCTGAAGAGTTAGGTAACGAGCTGGAAGATGGTAAGACTCTAGCGTGGAGAGACAAATAGAAAATGCAAAGGTGTATAGAGTGATAAGGTTTAAGTAAGTTTACTTAGAGTCCTAGAAGTAGATAAGAAAATGGGCAAAGATGAAATAGAAAATTAATGGCTGAGATTTTTCCATAACAGGTGTGCTGTCAAACCACAGATTAAGACCAATGGTTGTAAATAGAGTTAAAAACAATCCGTTTAGATATAAAGTACATAAAACCAAAGGCAAAGAGACTGTCTAAAAGCCGAGAGAAAAAGGAATGATAAATTGACTGTTGACTTCTCATCAGTTGTAATTCTGATCGTGTTATTCCCCAAAATTTCAGTAGCGTCTGTCCCTGAAGTGTAGACCACGAAGTCTGCAGCAGCTCACCACGGCCTTTCGTGGCCCGGCCCCTAGACCCTGCAGACACACGGAGCCACCTCCTGTGCTCTTGCTCTTGGCTGTGCCTCCACATACTCTTTGCCCGTCTTGGAATGCGCCAAGGCCGCGCACCTGGCCAGTCCTCACTCAGCCTCCCCGTTTTCAGCTCAGGGCTTAGGTGCTGTCTTCTCGCCCTGGGTACAGAGCTTGCCAGCAGCTACAGCACCAGGTTATTTGCTGCATCTTCATTTCCTTTCAAGCACAGGAGCTCCCAGAAGGGGACAGGGTTACTTGCAGGGCCTGACTTTCCACAGGTAAGCAGGACCTTCATTGGCAGAGCATTTTAAGGAGTTCTCTGGCTGCTTCACCAGTTCCCGGACACGGGTTTGCAGCCCTTTCACCCTGCTCGATTCACACGTGTGTGGAGAACAGGTTACCATGGTCAAGGGTCAGCAGGCATCCCTGCATGCGGTCACTTCCTGTTCCGCCTCTTCACTCTCCGTTTCCTTGGTGAAACTGGAATTACAGTACCACATTGCGCATGGTGTAAAGTTATAGTACAAATCAAATGAGGTGATACAGGCGAATGTGCTGGGCAAACTCCCATTCCTTGTTTCAAGGTGAGAAACTGCTAGGACTGGGGACTTTGAGAAGGAGGGGACTCATTGGTACCTTGAAGACTGTCCCTGCTCACCGTTGGGCCTCGCTGGAGCTGGCTGGGTGACCTGGCATCGTCTGCCATACTCTTGCCTTACAAGCGCATGGTTACAGCACGTGGTTATTCACAGCGACCATGGCCCTGGCCCTGCAGGGACTTGTGCTGCCAGCTCTTCATTTCACTGGCAAGAGGCATAAGACAACTATTCCTAGTCAGTTGCTTATATTGGTAATGTACCTGTTTTTCAGAATATTCTTTTATTTTTTGCAGTACCAGGGATCTAACTCAGGACCTTGTGCTTATGAGGCAGGTGAGGCACCACTGAGCTAAATCCCTAGCCCCAGAATATTCTCTTTTAAATGAAGAGTTTTGGTAGTTTCTAATTTCTAGAATTATTTCCTAGAAAGGACAAGAGAGTTTGGCAGCTCTGTCTTCACTATGGTGAAACCAAAGGCTGTGGAGCACATACAACTCTCGCCTCATTGTGGGCCACAGGCAACACTGCCCAATTTTTGTAGTTCCTTCAGGAATTTCATTGCTCTATCAAAGCATTATTCCTGAGAGTCCATCAGAAACTCTTAATTTAAGCACCTTTTATGCTAAATCATTAATAGTGATAGAGTCTCTTGGCAGCATGCCCCTCAGAAATGGCCTGTAAGTCTTGCCTCCAGATTTGTTCTTGGTCACTGCCTCTCTGCACCACACCCTGCAGTGCTGTGCCAGCAGCCACTTTCCCCTCAGCTTCTGATCGTGTCTTCTAGACTGTGGCCCAGCTCTCTAAGACCTCTGTTCCTATTGTTTCTCTCTGCCCTGGTGCTACTAAATCCGTAGCCCTAAGATATCTCCGTGTGGTGTATAACTCTTGAGAGAAAAACTTTGCTGGCTTTCATAATGCTTCGTGGGGTACTGTCTGAGCTTGTCAGTCTCCTTGTCTGGACCTATGTGTTAGGAAGGGTGTTCTGCCGAGAATAGCACTAAATCCTAAAATATCGGTGGCTTAAATAAGAAAGAAGTTTACTTCCCTCACACACAGAAGCAGACCGGAGGTAGGCAGGCCAGCGCTTGCCTGGGAGCTCTGCAGTGTTAGCTGTTCTGTCAGGCTGCTCCTCAGTGTAGAAAACACCTTTGTGCTGTGGCCTCTAAAGCCAGGTTGAGTGCTTGAGGTCCAGCTATCATGGCTGTATTCCAGCTAGCAGGGAGGAAGAGAGCGAGTCAGTGAGTTTACTTGTTTATTATTTGGTACTGGAGATTGGAGGTTGAACCCAGAGAGAGGTATTCTGCCTCTGAACTATGTCTCCAAGCCTCTCTTAAATTTTCATTTGAGACAAGGATTCAGTAAGTTGCTGAGAATTGGCTCAAATTTGCCATCCTTCTGTCTCAGCCTCCCCAGAGCTGGGATTTCAGGTGCCGCTGCGCCCAGCTTGAGTCTCTGCCCTTGATTCTTCTCCAAAGTCCCTAACAAAACTTTCCCCTGAATCTTATTGACCAAAACTTAGACATTCCAACCATGTGTATGAAGGATATGGTCTGTTAACGAGGCTGCTCTGCTAAAAATCGAGGCAGTAGAGTAGGTAACTGGGGGTGATTTTTGAGTCCCTGAACTTGGCCTATCCCACACCCAGCCTCATTCCTCCCCCTCCTTGCCCTCCCCACCCAGCACTGTGGGATCCAGCATATTGGTAACTACAGGAAACCTTACCTGGCCTTTTCCCTGTCAGCCCCTCTCACAGTACTGGGCCACTCACGAGTCCTGGCCCGTGCCTGTCAGAAGCATCTGCGCATTCTTCAGTTTCCTCAGAGGCCTCTCCTTCCTTCCTCAGCAGGCTGGCAGTGTGGAGCAGTCCAGAGGGTTGTGGATGCAGGGCTGGACGGATGGCTCTGAGTCTCCACGCCCCAGTGTAAACACGGAAGCACTCCGCGTGTAAGTTGTGTCCAAAGACACTGCCAGGTCTCCGTGTGGATTCCAGACCTCTGTATTCCCTCCTTATACAACATCATCCCGTCGAGGTCTCGGAAGCGGCCTTCATGCCTAGCCACCTCTGAAACAGAGCTCTACATGAGTTTTACTTCCCTCAGCCTGGCTGCAGGTGTCAGGAAGCTGGAAATTGTCTTACATTTCTCCTGTCCCAAATCCTCCACATCTCTTACCCTCGGTTCTCAAGTCAAGTAGCTGCCCATCTGCCAGCTCAGCCGCGGAGTGTGCCTTCTTCCTTCTCCAGCGCCCGCGTTGGCAGCTTGCCTTTCCTGCCTGGTCTGCACAGCGGCTCTCATGGTCTCCCACACCCACTCAGCCTGCTCTGGTCTGGTCTTGGGCTGTGCCACTCATGTGCGAAAGCCAGCTTCCCTTTGGATCTAGGCTGGAATTCTGGGTTCTTATTTTCTACAGAGCCCCACCGGCCTTGAGCTCTATGTCTCTGATCTCTCGCACCGCTCACTCTTGCTCACTCCAGTCTCGACGGTCTCTTTCTCATCCTTGATTGGGCAAAGAGCCTCCTGCTTCAACCCCATCCCCACATCACTCTGTAAATCATTCTCCTGTCTCAGCCTAAATGGCGCTTCCTCACAAGCCTTCCTGACCTCTAAACTGACGTCCTCTGCCTCTGCTTAGGATGGTTCTTCCTTAGTATTCACCACAACTTGGAATTCTGTATTTATCGAGTGATTACTTATAGGATGTCACTTCCACATTCGCCTATATGTTCCCTAAGTGCTGGGTTCGTATCTCTTCTAATTACAGCTGAATCTTCAAAGCTCAGTGCTTAGTGAATATGCATGGAATAAGTGAATGAATAAGTAAGCGATCTTGTGATTAACAATGCAGGTGATTCTCTCATTAAATCGACAACTTTGTTTTTCAGTGTGGCAATATGTATGTGTTGGAAACATACTAAGGCGATTCACCTTTCCATCTTGGCACTGTATTTCTTTACATCCATTGACCACCTGTGATTCTCACTTGGGAGCCTATAAACTTCATTGTAATTTATGACTCTGTAGCTTTGAACAAAGCCTTGCTTTTGCCAGGATAACTGAGCACAGAACCTGGAGAGGTCATGTGCAGGTGTGCTATCTGAGAATCATGCGTGGGCCCACTTCCATGGCTTGCTGTCTCTCTTCCTGTGTGACCTGGAATAACCTTTACAACAGAAGACTTGCTGTTTGTTGTGGTGCTGGAACCTGAAGTTGTAGTCATTTTATTTATTAAATTAAAACCAATTTTTTGTTGTTTTTTGAGACGGGCTTGCTATGTAGTTCAGGCTGGCCTCGAACTCACAGCGGTCCTCCGTCCTCTGCCTCCCAGGTGCTGGGGCTAGAAGCATGCACCGCCATGCCCAGCTGTAGTCATTTTGAAACAGTCATCATCCCAGAGAAGCTTTTTGCCCAGCATTTCACTTACCGTGGAAAAGCCAGTCTCTCACTCCCCACCTTGATGACCAGCTTCTTTGAGATCAGAAACGGAAATGTCAACTATTGAAGTAGCATGTTGGGCCAGGGATTTAACTCAGCGGTTCCGCCACCTGCCTCTCAAGCATCAAGGACCTGAGTTCAATCCCCGGTACCAAAAGAAAGAAAGAAAAAATATGGGTGAAGTAGCATGTACTTATAATTTCCTCTTCCTATTTCCTGAATTACCTTATTCTGCAGAAAACACCGGGAAGGTGTGTTGTGGAGCAAACAAATCAACAACTTACGTGGTACTTTTTCTCCCTTTCCAAGGTTGTAAAAAGTATTTTCAAAGTGTCTGATGATTTTGGAATCCTGAATTATGGGTCTAAAATAAAAGATGAACGCAGATAATTGTCCCTGTCTTATGATGGAGCGGTCACTCACACCAGCAGTGTGTGTGGGTTTCTTTTTGAATGGCAATGCAAATTCTTTTCTGAGTGGCTCTTCTGTGGTAGAGTGGGGTGAAGATGGAAAAGCACACAGTAGATCCTCTGAAGCCCAGGAGTCTGCTCATATGCCTGGGAGGGCGGAACCTGTCCAGTGGCTGGGCCGCAGCTAAGGAGCAGCCGTCTTAGAAAGGGTTCATACATTTATATTGGCTGTGGAGATGTCTAATTGATGATTAGTGTTTCTCTCAGATCTCTGGAGGGTCCCCTCGAGTCCAGAAACTCCAGTTTAATTGAGTAAGAGTATTTGCAATGTAGCGAATGAAAATTTCAAGTTTTGTTTTGTTTTGTTTTGTTGGTTTTTTGAGACAGGGTCTCACTATGTAGTTGAGACTAACCTGGAACTCACTATGTAGCCCAGTCTGGTCTCGAACACCCAGGGATCCTCCTGCCTCATCCTCCCGAGTGCTGGGATTACAGGCGTGCGCCACCATACCCGGCTGAAAATTTCAAGTTTTAAATGTCCATAGGTGTATATGTGCTGCTTTGTTAATAAGTGTTTTTCACACTTCCAGTGCAAAGTCTGACAGCCTCCTTCCTGGGGAGATGTGGCTTCAGTTTCTTGGGTGGATGTGCACTTTATAAGATTTTTAAGGAATTTTTTACTTGAAAGACTTTGCTCGCCATATAATGTCACAAAGACAAGCCAGGAAAATTGAGATTGGGGTATTTATTTAATAAATACAGTCTCTTTTCCACCATTTTGTTTGTTATGGCTAGTACTAAACTACTTTTAAAAGTTAGCATTTAGCTTGATTTTGTCTTATTTCAGCAGATGTGTTTAATAAACTAGCCTATCTAGCTTTGGTCATGGGCTGGGGCCGTATTTCACCTCTCATTTTTTGGCATTTTGATGCGGGGCAGTTAAGCTTAATTCAGCATCATTTGATGCTCTCCATGAGGGTTAGCATGTGAATGGTGTTAACAGATCAAATGCTGCACTCAGCGTGTGTGAACACACGGGCGTGATTGGCCTCACCACGCCCCCAGCACCTGTGGCTTTTCCTCTTTCGTAAGGGGAATGGTGAGCGGTTCACTGGGAATTTTTTCCTGATCTGAATTTAAAAGCCTCTGTGTTTTAATGGATATGCATCTAACTGGTTCCTCCTCTTCTCTCTTTTTCTCTTTTTCTAATTTAGGAAAAGACGAGAGCACTCCCATGTCACCAGACCCCAGAGCTCTGACGGAGAAGTTGCTGCAGAGATCAGCCAAGGTCACTGCCTGCAGTTACCCCTTTGTCCACTGGCTGCCACCTGAGCACCCGTTGGCCTCAGACAATCCAGCTGGGACTTAGCGGTTGTTCAGTTAATCAGAATGTCAGTAGAAGCAGGAAATAAGGAAAAGTGGATGTCTTGTGACTTTATGTATTCATTTGCCTGCATTTGGATAAAGGGCCATGGCCTTTTCTTTGTATGTGGCTATGTTTGGAGTTGTGCATTATCTCTCTTGCTCAGGCCCTACTCATGACGCGGTGTTTATGACTTTCAGGTTTGGTTATTTAATTGGAGTGAAAATTTAGACACTGACGAAACAATATGAATATAGATTCCTTCTAGACTCTCTATAAGTTTTTGCTCGTTTCTTTGAAATTGTCCTGCCCATACCAAATTTTAAAAATTTAAATGTCTCTTAGTTTTTCTCGAGTACTCATTCAGTTATATGAGTAAAGCCCTATTATGCGCCTACTTCATTGCTCTGACATTCAGTAGAATGCTAGTGGCATCTTCAGTTGTGGGATCAAACACCGCTGCCTCTGTCTGTGTGTAGAGTTCATGGTGGCAGGAAAGGCTTGAGGGCAAACGATAGTGTGACGTGGTAGTGTGAGGCTTTGTGTCCCCGAGGCACTCGCCAGCCAGTTGGTTAGGAGAACATCTCTCCTGCGCGTACAAAGCCTGCACTCTCTGAAAGGGGGTTCGCGTGCCCTTTCGGGTGCCCCTTCCCAATTAGGCCACTCATGCACCGAGAGGTCCGGCAGATCTTTATTGTAGGGAGGCGAGCAGGAGGCAGGAAGGCAGAGAGAGAGAGAGAGAGGGAGAGGGAGAGAGGAGGAAGAAGAAGCAGAAGGAGAGAGAAGAGAACAAAGAAAGGAAGGTCCTTTTATCAGTTTGGGGGTGGGCTATTGCTTATTTATGAGGAGTGAGTTACTTTTAACCTATCACAGGCCAGATTGCTTTTATGGGCCCAGTCCTGCAGACACAGGTTTCAACTTTCCTGGACCACTGTGGCCTTGGTGGGGGGAGGGAAACCAGAGATAAGGGCATGAGGTCATTTTAGGAGCCAAGATGTACCAGGAGAATGCAGCCTGTGAGGCGGCATCAGAGCATACTTTAACATGATCACTTCCCTAACACCCTCCGTGCATTAATGCCATTGCCCACCGGTAACCCAGAGCTGTACTGCAGTGAGCTTTTTGAGGGTGAACTCTGTACACCAGAGAACAGGCGGTATGGAAAATGCTACTGAATGCATGGCCTGGGGCTGGATGGATCTGGCTCACATGCCTGTTTTGTTCACCTGTTTGGTATTTAAAACACCACAGCTTACATTAAACAAACAAACAAGCAGGGAGTGGTCACATAAAAACCTAGGCAATAGCTTCTTTTGTCTAACCTCTGGCTGTTCTGGGTCACATTCCTGAGTGACCCCAGTAGTGCAGCCCTCTGTTCCTGCAACTGTGCTCACTCGGCTCTGCCCTCTCCCTCTCCTCCTCTGTCTTTTGTATAACGTTTCTTCATGAATTCAACCTGAAATTACAAGGTAAAGCAACACTTGTACGCAGAACTTACGCTGTGTTGGCGTCATTGCCATGGTGGTCAGCATGGTGTGAAGCAGAGGGAATGCGGAGCCACTTTACATTTTTGTGCTATCAGAAATGAAATCATGGGGCTTGGACTTCCAGTTCGGACAAGATGGCGTAGATATGTTGTTTTGCTGCTCTCACTAAGTACAACTGAAAACCCTGGAAAATTAAGAGGCAACTGAAGGAGAGCCCTGAAAGAGGAAGAGAGGAAGGCACACTAGGTGGGGACCCAGGCATAGAAGCCACAGGGACCTTAAAGCCCCACACGAGAAGGTGACCCAGGCCCAGCGTTTCTGATTCCCAGCTGAGCAGTAGGAGATGGCCAGGTCACTCATGCCTCTCAGTGAGGGCCATTGCAGGGGGTTGGGTGGGCAGGGTGGTGTGGGGGTCGTGGTAATAGTTGGTGGCCTGGAGAAGGCTCTTCCTTTCCCTCAGGCTGAGAACTTCTCTCCACCAAGAGACTGTAGGCATCTAAGTGGCTATTATAAGAGACACCCACCACAGGAAGTGCCAGCCCAGGAAGCCTTTGTTTCTGGGCCAGAGACTCCTTTCTCCCACCCAGAATCCCAGACAGTCTGAGGGCATCGGGAGAAAGCATCTTGTCTCAGCAACAGCTCTGACTGGGAAGCCCTTTTGTCCTCCCGCAGAGCCACCAGGTAGCCATAGTCCTTAGAAGGGAGCCTCTACCATGACAGGTGAGTGAGCCAGAAAATCTCTTTGTCCTTGTGGACCAGAGACTCCCCTCTCACCTCCAGAGAAACAGAGCAGCCCGGTAGCAGAGTAAGGGAGATCCTGCCACAGCAGGATCCCCAAATGGAAAGCCCCTTCCTCCTTTCATATGTTGAACCTTCCCCCTACAGGCAGTGCCAGCAGAGACCAGTGGTACCATTTAGAAGGAATGTATCAAAGGGTCCTGCGGTGCCTCTGAAAACAATTGTTGGAACTTGGGCCACAATAGCTGGCTGGGACCAGCACGCAAAATCTCAATAGGGTGACTCCTTCTAAAATGAAAGATTTAAGTGGCAACTGTCCAGCCACAGCCAGAAACTCTTCGTCAGACTAAGAACCAGGAAGATGGAGACTGAGAAAAACATTCAAGGAACCTACACAGTTGTGGTTATTGGATAAGGATTGTGCAGTGACCATCAGAAGGGTGGTTCACCAAACCATGAGCCAGTTCTCTGAAACAGTTGAGAAAGTGGGAAATCTCAGCAAAGAACTAGACATTACAACTTACAGTGATTTGTATTTAACAACATTTAAAGCAATTCCTGTATTGTTCATGTGAGAAAAATATAGTGTGGAACAAATACTAGGACCAGTATTTCCCTGCTAGAGTATGAGTTGCCTTCGTAAGACACAGGGCCTGGTTAGAAAAGCACTTTCTCTCACCCACCGGTGTATCATTGCATAGTTTTTCCTGGGTGTAAATGCTGACGGGGTATTCGTTGCAACGTCGATAGAAGTTTCTTAGTCACAGAGCATCTCCAGCGGGCACTTCATGGTGCCCTCTGAAAGCCCCCAGACCCAGCTAGCTGGTCAGATAACACCCTGCTGCCTTTGCCTGATACCTAGTTTTGTAGTCAGGTGGGACTGACTTTTTATCTTTGGTGTCTGCAGGTGGTTTACATCTTGGAAAAAAAACATTCCCGCGCAGCAACTGGCATCCTCAAACTCTTGGCTGAGAAGAACAGTGACCTGTTTAGGAAGTACGCCCTGTTTTCTCCCGCAGACCACCGAGTGCCTAGAATCCACGTACCTCTGAAGGATTGTCCCCAGAACTTCTTGACCCGGCCCAAAGATTACGCCAATACCCTCTTCATCTGCCGCATTGTGGACTGGAAGGAGGACAGCAATTTTGCCCTGGGGTAGGTGATCTCTGGAAAGAAAAATGCAGTTTAGATGGCCTTCAGGTGACCTGTTTGTGTATTTTAGTTGTTATGTGCTTTATTAAAGCCACAGTACATGGTGTAGTTTGGACCTGATTCTTCAGAAACTTGCCCTAGCTGCCACTTTAACTGGTTGCCTGTATGTTCTCTGAATTTCCAAGCAGTCACCTTTTCATTTTTGTTTTTTGTTTTTGGCCTGAAGTACAAGCACATTCTGAGGCTCTGCTTCTGTCCTGTTATATCCTGAATTCTCTCCATGCAGAGAATTCATTGTATCATTCAGCCAGACCTTTCCTTTCAGACACTGCTGTTAAATTAGGCAAAGTCCTATTTTAGGCATATTCGGGGAACCTCTGGCTTCTCTGCTTTAAAATATGAATGTGAAGCCATGTTTGAGTGATGGTGTTTTTTGATATTGGGCTTCTAATCAATCTGATTAATGCTGAAGTCTCACCTGTAGCATTGAAAGCTAAATTTTCCTACTGGAGGAGGAAACAGTGCCATGTTTTGTGGGGGAGCTGGCAATTCAACTTACGCTTATGTATAACATAGTCCTTAGAGCATCAAGGATGGTCTTTTCGCTTTGAAGAAAAAGCTGTGCCTATTTTCTTTATACCCTTGTGGAAAGAAAAATAGTGTTTTAGCTGTATCTTTAGACCTTTGTTAGAGATGGGTCTGGTTTTTGCGCCCCAGGAAATGAACACAAGGTATACAACCTACAAGAGTCTCTTCTGATTTACTTTCTGTCCAGTTCAGTGACTCACTTGTCGGTCATCTGCTGTGTACAGGGGCAGGGCACCCTCCAGGGCCCGGGGGTTCTGTGGTTGTGAGAGCCAGCACTGGGCGGAGGGCCACAGTGTTGTGCTTTTATCAGTTGTATTTTACATTCAGCCCTTTATGCCTCTAAGGGGGCCAGATCAAGTCTGTGTGTCATGCTGATACAACTTAAGTGACACCACCCGGTGCCACTTTTCAGTTATGTGACCCTCGAGGTCATTGATGGGATCTCAGAACCACCTGGGAACCATTGCACTTTCTCTTTTGCTCCAGGCAGTCTGATTGCAACCTAACATAGCCAACAGTGATGTCAGCTCTTGGGCCCAAATAGTCCTCCTCACAGGCTTGCCAGTTTCTCACCAGCAAATCAAAAGGCCGATGATGGCCGTGCCACCTGGCCCTGTTGATTGCGCCACCACACTCCATTTGGCAGTGAGAGGGAAGACTTTCCACATCAGAGCAGGAAATCCAGCCTGGTCTTTTATCTGCCTCCCTGTGTGTCCCATTGTGCTCTCTTGATTGAGCTGCTTCCGTAGCTTTCAAATTGAAAGGGTGTAGTGCGAAGAAATCTTCGAGGTGTGGGTTTCCCTTAGGACTGAATAGCCGAGCTTACTTCACTCGGAGCCCTTGCATGGGTGAAGGCGGCAGCAGCCAAAGAAGGAGGGGCCTTGAAGCCACGAGCATGTGTGCTGGATGCACAGAAAGCGTATTGTGCCATTTTCAAAATAAAAATCTGAGGATGAGCGTATGTAGATGAAGAACTGCTTTTTTAAAAATATAAGACGTGAAAATTGTCTTTTATGAAAATACTCCTTTTAACATCTGTGTGAAAAAGAGAAAATTTATTTTAAGAAATAAAGTGTGGCAGGCTTTCATGATAAGTTCTTGGATGGCATCGTCACCCGAGGGGTGAGTGCGCAGCTGTTGAGCATGCTGGTGGCCGCCTTGCCTCTTTGTTCCGGCTGTCAGTTACTGATCTTAGGGACTGAGGTCACCGTGTTCTACTCCGCACATGCTGTGCTGTGACTGCCTAGCTTTCCTCTCTCTCCTCTGCCAGGTTCTGCCCAGGAGCCAGTGGCAGTGCTTGCTGTGTGAGTGTGTGTATTTGTGGGGTCAGCTTCCACATAAACTGTGCCTAAAACCACTTAGCTGAGGTGGCCTCCTTCTGAATTTCCTCTCTGCCCCTACACCTCTGTTCTTAGCAGTACTGTATGGAATTTCCTACACCTTTGTAATTGCTACCGATGATTCAAGTCCAATGTTATTTACCTCTTCTGTATTTAAATACAGTTCACCAGACAGGTTTTGGTCAACTACGTGTAAGATACTATGCTGTACTATCTGAGAAATACAAATGTAAGCAAGCTATGGTTTCCTCCTTCCAGGAAACTGTAATGCAGGAAGACTTGTACATAAATGTCACAGGGATAATTGGATTCTAAGAAATGAAATCCCACTTGAGCTAATTTAAATACAAGTTGGGGATTATTATGAGAAACTATGGTTCTCTTAAAACCCAGGGCAGGAAATGGAGGAGGTTTATGAGAACCTCAGAACTAACAAGGGGGCAGAGGGATCAGAGCTTCTCCCCCTCTTGACCAGCCCAGCCACACATAGCTCCTCTCTCGACTTCCTTCTGGGGTGAGCTGGGTTGTTCTGCTCCCTCCCTCTCTGCACAGTAACCCCCCCCACCTGCTCAGAATTCTTGGGGTAGGAAATCCTAGCGATTCAGTTTAAGACTGGTATTTTCTGGGGTCAGTAGTTTTAACTAGAGGCAGAATCCTCTGACTTCTATGATGAGCTACCTAGTGAATCAGGACCGTGGGACTCAACTGTCTGGGAGGAAGCATGAATGAAATAGATGAGTGGAATGGACCACCTAACTTAACTACAACTACAGTACCGAGCAGAGAGTTGTAAGTTCTTCCTAGGAGAAAGACTCTGGACGTTTAGAGGAGGTAGGTGAAGGGGGAAGTCTAGGATCATTTCTGAAGAGCAGAGGTCTCTTTGCCAAAAGGTCTCTCAGACGAGAGTGCACAGTGGAAGAGTGGACAGGAAGGGCCAGGCCACGGGCTACTGCAGGAAGACAGAGGAAGTGGAAGGACTGAAGCAAAAGGGCCGCTGTGCAGAGAACAAACACGAAAAGATTCAAGGAGGCTAAGGTCAGTTCTCCCAGATTTGAGAGCCGATTAGAAATGGGCATGAACAAGAAGGATGAATCTTAGGATCATAGATGAACTTCCAGGCCTCAGACTTGTGTGAGAGGGCTATGATTTACCGAGAACAGGCTTGGCTTCCACCGTGCTGTTTACTTCCGCCTGGGTGCTTGCAGATTCCCCCGCTAACTGGGTCCCTTCATGGCGCCAGACACTTGCGCGCACGTGACACTTCCTTTCCTAGCAGCGGCTTTCACCTCTCTCTCCAGTATTTGCTCGTTGAAATGCTCAACTTTTAAACTCAACTCAGTGGCTCACAAGCCTTCCTTGTGGGTGCTCCCGTGCCTTCTAATGATGCCTTGAATGTAGCGCTCGCGTGTTTGGGTTGCATGGCTTGCTTACGTATTTTACTTGGCACCGAGCGCCTTCGGGACAAGGATCTCCAGTGAACGTTTGCTGACTCGTCAGATGAGTAGATGGGAATGAAATGATGGCCCCGAGGTCTTGAGCCAGGCTGATGAGGGAGATGAACCATGAATCAAGCTAGAAAACTCAGAGGAGCAGTTTGGAACAAAATGATGAGAACCAGAGTTCTCTGACTTCAAAATCACCCTGCGGAGCAGTGTACGACTAGGGTATAAATCAGATGGAGAACGCCAGTGTAGAAGGTGCGCATGTTTAATACAGAGTCTGACTGGCAGGCATTCATTAACGGAACATGTGCTGTCACTTGCTTGGGAAGGGCCTCAAGGCTTGGCCTCCCCGCACTGTGCGGTTGCCCCGGCCCGGTGGTACATCGGTGCCCCATGGAAGGGAGCTCACAGATCTTCAGTGTCAGTCTTCCGCTTGGATTTGTCCTGAGAGATCTCACTTGAGCCTTTATCACTTCTCTCTGTACCACATCAACCACGTTTTCCTGAATTTCAGTTTTTCATGTTACCAAAGCCCCGAAAGTAGTCTGTTCTTAGTGAGCCCGGCCTGGCCTTTAAGGTTGCTTCTTGTCCTATATCACAACACATTTAGTATTTTTAATATTTAGTATTAGACTTTCATCCCAATTAAAAGCCATATTGGCTTCCTCACTGGAATGATTTGCAGTTATATAATCAGATTTTAAGAGCTTCCCAATCCTTTCAAATTGTTTTTTTGAAACTCTCATAGTGGCCATTCAAGCCTTTATTTTCTCAGACCTTTGTGAAATCTTCTATCCTAAATCTGGATTCCAGTCTTCCTTTCGAAGATGTTGTAAGCATGGATATTTCATGGTGACTTTCCCCTAGATTTATCATTTTTTTTTATGTAAGGATAGATCTTGAAGAAAATGAAGTTCATAGCAGCTACTGTGAGAAACATAATAGTGTTTTTCAGCAGTACTAAAAAGGCCTATGATCTGAGTTGACCTAGAGCAAATTGACATCTTGTCATATTATTTTGCAATCTTCAGTGGCATTGGGGGCCCAAGGAGGGGAGAAAAGGAACCGGTCAGTGTAAGTATAGCAGGAACAGGAAATTTGGAGTTGAACCTGGGATTGCCCAGGCTTAAGGGGAGGCTGTTGGAATGAGGATTAGAGGGTGAGTCACCATACTGCTGATTTTAATGAAAGCAAAGTGCAGCAGGGTCCACTGGAGCCAATGATGTACAAGATGACAGCAGAGGAAGGGAGGATCTGCTTGCTGGCATGTGCTGGAGAAGAAGCTGGTGGGTGGGGTCTGCTCAGGTGTCTCCTTCACCTCCGGTGTTGTCACTGTAGGGCCAGTGGTTAGATAATCAGATGTGTGTTGACTGATGGGAGCAAATACTTGTACTATTCTGTTCAGTTTTGATAATGAATATGTAGTTGAGACTGACCTGGAACTCACTGTGTAGCCCAGGCTGGTCTTGAACTCACATTGATCCTCCTGCCTCAGCCTCCCTGAATGCTGGGATTACAGGCATGCACCACCACACCTGGCTTTGATAATGAATTTCTTTAGGAGTAGATATAAATTAAAGAGATGATCATAAATTACATTAATTAAATTAAGTTGTACTTAGCAGGAAAAAGA